CCAACGTGCAGCTTCAATCGGATTTGACCTATGAAGAAAAGCCAATTCGAGTATTAAAAGAAATGGAGAGAGTAACAAGGAGTAAGATTATTAAGTTCTATAAGGTGGTGTGGAACAATCATAGTGAACAAGATGCTACGTGGGAAAGAGAAGATTATCTACGAGAAGTTTATCCCGCCTTTTTCCAAGAATGGTAGGTCTTGCAAATCTCGGGACGAGATTTTTATAAGGGGGAGGGGCTGTAACACCTCGGGTGTTAGCCTTGCATAACTTGACTTGCATAACATGAGCATGAGCATCAAGCATTCATAAATCATCATTTACAATTGAAACATTTGATGGAAACATATGAAACATTGCTTGTTATCTCGTGTTTCTTGAAACATATGCAACGTTTGCTTGTTTTTGCATGTTTCTTTGTACATATGCAAATGATCATGAATGTAAACATGTACTTGGTGGATTTGAGTCACCAAAATATTTTGGCAATGCTTAGGTTCACAAATGGAACATAGATCATGAATGTCATTTTTTTCCATGGTCAAGTCTTTAAGGCATATTTCATGTGATTACTTTAAATAGCTCTATGAATGACTACTACATGAAATGCTTAAATGACCTTGCAAATTGCTTAAACATGCTTAGAGTATCATCATGAACAACTTTGGTATTTAGAGCTAGGGCTAAATAGATCACTAAGTCATAGTTCTTGCTCAAGTCATCTTTTGAATGTAGCATGTTTGACTAAAGTTGAACTAGGTGTTAGAGACCTTGTATGGAGGAGTTCACTAAATCAAAGTTGTAGTGTTTGACATAAGGAACAACTTTTATTTTTGGGTCATTGACTGATTTAGCTTCTAACATGCTTGAATAGGTCCCACAAAAATCAGGAAAATCAGCATTTCATGACTTAACAAAAATTTCTAAGTTGTTGACTGACTGACCGACTGACAGCCGATGTTTGGGGTGATATTACTCCGTTTCTGTTGCGAATTAGAACGAGGTACTTGAACCAAAGTTGTAGCTGGTACATAGGACTACACAAGTCGTGTAGATCGCTTGCACGTTGGAGCTTTGGTTTAGCAGATAATTAGCCGTGTAAACTCGCTGTCAGGCTCGACTTCGGGACTTATCTGACGAACTAAATCGTTTCGGTGGCCGACATCGGCAGGCTTCGCACGCCGCGTGGCGCGGGAAACGGCCGCGCGTCGCCGCCGGTCTGTCCGCGCAGGCCACGACGCGCCCGAGCGCAGCCTTAACACCGCCAGCGCCCGTCCGAGCCACCCCGCGCCTCATTTCCCATTTTCTACTCTGTCTTCCTCGCCGCAGCGACAGCCGAGCTCGGCCCGCACCTCCGCCGTCGCCATAGCCAACGCCAGCTCGCCCTCGCTGCTTCTCCACCCCGGCAACGCCTCCACTAGTGCCCCAGCGACCCACTGCCTCCTCCCGTGCTCGCTGACCGAGCTTGGTAAGCCACCGCAACGCGTACGACCTTGCCGGAACTTCACCGCGAGCCCCGTCACCGTGGCCGGAGCGCCACCGTCCACCTCTCCATGCGTTAGCTAGCGCGTTGAGTGCGTCTTAGGTAGTATATGCTCGTCCGAGCTTGAGCTTGCTTCACCGTGGCCTCCTCCGGCGTGCCGCCGTCGTTCCGCCCCGCCGTGCCGCCATAGCCGTCGCCGTAGTTGCTAGCTACGACGAGAAGGCCACCCAGGTAGCTCAATCAATGCGCCAGGTCACCTAGGTCATGCCGTGACGATGTCACCGCCGGCGAGTTCACCGTCGGCGAGCTTTAGCCGCGCCACTGTCACGCAGCGTAGCTGCTCTGTTGCCGCGTCGCTGACGTGTGGGTCCAACTGGCGAATGGGGCCCGGCTGTCAGCGACAGTAAGAGATAGGATAGGTCATTATATTCCAGATTTTGATTTGTTTTGTAAATTTTGTATCTTCAGTTTGGTAGCTCCTAAATTTGTGAAATAAATTTTGTAGTGTTCCTTAGGAAGTGTAGTATTTAAGAAAAATATGTTTTTAACATTTACAGTAGAAAGTTTTGGAGATTTAAATAGGGATTTGAAATGTGCTTTTGAATACATTCAAATTTGTTTATTTTATATCTAGAGTTCCTGTGCTCCAAAAAATTATGAAATTTTTGTGGTAAGCTAATCTTAGCATATATGAGCTCTGGTAAAAATTTGGGGACCAGTGCATGGGTAGATTTATAGTTATAGATTTTTCTTTTATGACTAGTTAATCCTTGCATGAATTTTCATAAATTAATTATGAGTCCAAAATTCATGAAATTTGTTGGAGGTAATCCTAGTACCATACGGATGCTAAGAAAAATAGAAAATCTGTTGCTTGACACTTTTCAATAGGGTTTTCCATTTATGCTTTTTCAAGCCATGCTGCCTTATCATTTTTGTGTAGAATGTTCTACTTAGTAAAATGACATGAAATTTCTATAGCAGTCCTTTGATAGCATTAGTAAGGCACTGTAAATTTTTGAGAATTTATTAAGCACATCTGATATATATTTATTATTTAACCTAGATATATAAATAAAATAATAAAGGTAATTAAATGAATAGTTTGGGCTTCACCATTATATGATCTTAAATGTATTTGGTATGCTTAAACTGTTGGTAGATTCTATGTGATCAAATTTTGAATGATTACATGAAGTAGAATTATCGTTACTTTATATTGCATATTAAATAGTTTCCGGACTGATTCTAGAGTTCAATGAGTTGCATGTGGAAAATGATGTGTACTGTAAAAATGGTTAATAACAAAGTTGTAGAGAATTTGATAAGCTTTCCAGAAAGTCCAGGATCACTGTATTTGGATTAGTGGAACTCCAGTTATGAGTGAAACAAGTAGCTACTGTTTGTGGCAGGGTTGATGTATTGTAGGAGTAATTAAGTAATAATCGAGAAGAGATATGTACCTACTCAATAAATATGATGCACTTGTTAACATTTATGCATTCGTAATACTTATGCCATACTCATGCATCTAGGATCGGAGGAAGAGATCACGTTGCTGGAATTCGAAGAAGCTGAGGAAGGGAACCAGCAGGAGGATCCGCAAGCCGCAGCTCCCGAAGGCGTGGAGCAGAACCCTGAAGAGCTTCCGGAGTGCCCTGACCACCGCCCTACTTCCTTTCTACGAGGCAAGCCCCGAAGCATTATAAGTTTCCCAGTAATTTACAAATGTTTACTTAAGTACTTATGATTGCTGCATTAGGTTATAAGAGTTGAATGAAACCACTTGATGTATGTACATTCCTTGTCCAGATATTACACCTTTAACCGGTATAGGTCCAGGATCGAATATATGCTTAGCCATGCTTAGACCGGTAGAAGTCGGGTGATTTTCGGTCACCTGCGAGATATAGGTGGATATCGGAGCACGGTTGGTTATAATTGCTATCGTGGAAAAGAACCATGGTTAATATAATTGGAGACCGGGCGGGATGTCGATAGAGAAGCAACAAGACATGGAGGTCTTGGGTGTGGATCTATCCCCGTCTATGTCGATCAAGGACCGTACCGTTGTTGGAACTTCTGACAAGATTGAACGCATGCCTCTCACTTAGCTGGCCGGATAATTCGTTTCGACCGTGAAGCCGAGTAATTCAACTTAGGCCGGGAATCGTTCTGTTGTGCGCTCCTTCCGGGGAACGATCAAACTGAGCCCAAGGGCAGGATTGGCCTGAGCATCCTGGCATCTGGTGTTCCAGATTGTGCGGCGCGGTACGGACCCGCGAAATGTGTACCTGAGTTGTATCAAAGGTGACCTAAGGCTATCGTGGCTGGTAGACCTGAGTTTGTGTTAGGAATAAATTCCCAGCTGGTTGAAATCGATTCGAATCGTCGTCTCTCCCGGATAGTGAGAAACTTGGCTAGCTCCAACATCGTAGTAACTGTATTATGGAACATGATGGTTCGGATGAAAATAGAATTACAATACCTGCTATGGTTACTATTGTATGCTTCTAAATGATATACCACATGTTTGGCACAGGATAGTTGCTAATCTAGAAATGGATAGTTATAATTAACTTGGTAAAGGAATCATAATTGTACAACGGATCAGTTGCCTTTTTCGCAAAATATTGTCAAGTTACGTTCACTTATACAGCCTTGCATAATCCTTGGAGTCATTTTATTTCTGGTTCATGACGGGTAAGTCTAGCTGAGTACCTTCTCGTACTCAGGGTTTATTTTCCCATTGTTGCAGATGACACTGTGTATCATGGTTATTGCAAGAGTTGCTTCTATCCCGCTGTGGATGAGGAGTAAGCCTTGGGCAGGCTTCTTTATTAATTCCTATCCTTGCTTTTGTGGACCGTGATCTAGCTTGGCACTGTATCAAACTATGTTGGAAACTTTATCTTCGAACTTATTTGCTTCCGCTTTATTTATCAAACTCGATTTGTAATAACTTTTATTCGTACTCTGATGATGAAAAGTATCTGTGAACTTTATGTAATATGTGGCATGTATGTTGAATCCTGTACGATCTTGGTTGTTGTAAATCGTTTATCGAGACTTGTCGTGGTACTCGACGGACTACCGGGTTTATATGGATTCAAGTATGACAGTGCGACCGCTTGCGGATGGCCATTGTACTTGTATTCTTATAAATTGGTCGGTTCTGCGACACTCGGCAACACTAGCGCGTGCTCGGCGAGACCGTCAAGTGCTCCTCTCGCCTGAGCCGGTGCACGGCAAGATCGGCTAGAGTGGTTTACTGACGTGAGCCGATGATCCTATGAGACCAAGGGTGGTCTGGAGACTATCTGTAGTGGTCTGGAGGCTATCTGTAATGGTCTAGAGGCCATCTCGTTGGTCTGGAGGCTATATGTAGTGGTCTGGAGGTCATCTCGATGGTCGGAAGGCTAACTGTGGGCCAACAATAACTTAGTGCAAGCCATATGGTGAAGTTCACATGAACAGGTATAGGGGAAAAATATAACAAATTCAGCTATTCTGTAACCTTGATTGACTTAGCATCACCCCAGGGATGCCTCTTCCTAACCTGTCCACATAAGCTCCCAACTGAAAGAAAAAATCAGGAACAAATAGAGCTCAGTTATTACAGTCCCACATCAAAAGGAAAAAAAAAAGGTGAAAAACAGCAACATTGAAGTAAAGGAAGGTGAAGTGGAACCCAAACCATTTATACGATATCGCTGCTCTACTATGGATTCCATATTTTCATTTAAAACATCCGTGACTGTTGACTGAATCTCTTCAAACGAAACAACCACCCCTGCAGGAAAAGGAAATATTGCGGATCAGGTGAACAGAACATTGTATCGGAATGGACAACAGGAGGATATAGTTCAAGAAATCCAATAGCTGATAGATGTTTAAAGTATATAAATTTCACTTAATTATCGAAAGTGCATACTAGGTTGTGAGTTGTGACTGATTCTTGTATACTAATAGCAAATTAGAAAGTGCTTGTGGCCATACATCTTCAAATCTATATAACAACAGATGTTACAGTAATGGATAAACCTACATCTGAGAAAAGAAAACATACCGACACCACAAGCCGCTTCAAACTTCACTGAATCCAAAGAATCAGGACCCAAGGTAGAAAGAAACGTCAGGGCAGCTCCAGTTGTGCAGAGTTTTTTATCTGGAAATGGCACGGTCAAGTTAAAACTCTTCCCAAGCGCCCAACATCACATAAACAGAGAGTAGAGAATACCAGAAAAAAGGCACCTTTTCTGACAGAATGTACTTAATGAGATCAGGGCGGTGGACTAGCGCATTCGTGGGATATTTCGTCGCAACCTAATCAATTGCACAAGCATAAATTCAAGAGCATCAGCCAACTATATACAATTTAAAAGGCATCACCGAAGCTACATCAGTGATCACTCATTTCGACAATGTGAACTTCTTACAGTGTAAAGGAGATTCCCCACAGATTTGTCGGACCTAGTAACACCAGCCTGCGTCACAAGCAACAGTTAGGACTGCGAATTACTCGCCAACTCAACGCTAGGAGAGATTTTTCTCTCTCATCTCATCGAATCGAAGCGGAAGGAGCGAACTGAGGCAGATGGCGAGTACCTCAGCGATGACGGCGGTGAGGTTGGCGGTGACCTTGCGGTTAGCGAGGGCGTTCTCCGCCGTGCGCTGGTCGAGTCCGATGGAAAGAAACGACTCCAGCTGCGGCGGGGAAGACGCCGAAGCCGTCGACTCCTTGTCTCCATCGCTGGTAGTCGCCATCTTCCCTGGGTTTGCGGCGCAGCTCCGGAGAGGCGAGCGAGCGAGGTGTCGAAGCGTGGGAGGCGTGAGAGGAGCCTGGGGACAACAGACATTTCGGCGAGATGTGGGCCCAGTTTAAGAGTAAAACCCTAGTCCTAGTTGATGCAATGATGCTACAAAGGTCCTGAAAAAACCGGACCTTCAAATCTGCCATGAATGGATCGAATGGTTCTTATATGCACATTACATTGCCCTATTTCAGACTCTGAAAACTTATAAAACCACAAGCCTCAAACGGTTACACCATTGATGGTACATAGCAAGGGAGAAAAACAGTAAGCTTCGCAAATTTACCATCCTAAACATAGACTTCGCAAATTTACCATCCTAAACATAACCAAAACAAGAAGCTTTAAAACCTATTCGTGCAGCAGCTCTAGGATTTGAGAGCGTGCAGGAGAGAAAAATGAACATTTGCAGAGAAGTCAAAGAAGAAGAACATGATATCCTGAAAACAGAACTAGATCTTCACAAATATATTACATTGTTATCATCTACAACCTGGGGGAATCAGACCTAAATAAACCTTGAAAAGCTTCAAGGCCGAAAGGCGAACTAACTTGTCCACACACTTTAAGTTACATGACAGCTAATGAAATGGTATTTACCAACTGTTCGAGATCAACATATGCATCAATCATAGAACATAAACTGGCAGCAATAACAAGGCCTGACAAACGAAAGTTCATCAGGATAGGCTATGCGCCGCTGCAGGCAAGAAGCTCCATATGGATTCAGTTATCAAACTACACGGCTCCAGGCTCCTCTCCAGCCAAGAACTTACGGGCCCATGCTTCAAGGTACTCCTTGCCCATGTTCATGAAAAAGCTTCGATGCACTTCAGACTCTGGCTTACAAAGATACATTCCAACAGATAGCCTATCAGGTTGTGTCAGTGGAATTTCTTTTAGCATGTTCCACAGAGGAGCATTCGGGTCTGATGTTGGTGCTGCCCGAACAGGTTTTGGAGCACTGTCACGGATCCCTACTAAGGTGCTGTTCAGTGCATCCACGTTCCTTCCATCATGTGGCAGAGGAGCCTGCGGCTTTGGGCTTAGTTTTGTTTTGCTGATGATCTTCAACTTCTTTGCGCTAGGCTTAAGAGCAGCCATTGTGCTCTCAGCAAAGGACCCAGATGGTGGACTAGTATCAGACATCACTTCACAAGGCACCTCACCACTACTTGCTGCCACCTCATGATGGTTATCTTCACCCTCCAATCCCATATTATCTAAGTCTGCCCCATCTTGGTCCCTTGTATCTGCACCTGAGGCAATAATGTTCAAGGCAATCTGTGCTTCCAATTCCTCATCAGAATCATCAGTCGTAATAGGGTCTCTCATGCACACTGCATCCAGCTGGCCATCATTGAAGAGATGAAGCAGATGATCGAAGAATGGAATGGGCTTAGCGAGGATAGCACGCTCCGCTATCTGTTAAAGAAACATATTCATTAATATAGTGGAGAAACAATGCAAAAATAATTGTCCTTCCTTATGATACAATACTTACAGGTAAACTAGCCATAGTGGCTGGAGGAAGTAATAGCATTTTGTGTTTATTGTTAAACCTGCTCCCACTCTCATTGGCATACCGAGTCACAATGATCCAGATCTCCTTGAAACGTCTAAAATGGCGATGGACCTGATCAACAGAGTAAGTTGTTCTGAATTTAGCATTTACTGCAGATGTGCACCAAACGTGGTGATTCTTCTTGAACTTGGTCTTGGGTGGCATTCCCTTCTTCTTATCAAGGTACCAATCAAGCAAAAACTTTGACATCACCCTGGGCCAATTTGTTGCTTTTGCCCTTTTGACCCTAGCGGTGGCATTGCCTTCTTCTAGGTCCATGTTGTGATCTGCATGAATAAGAAATGGTGAAAGTAAGAAGAATTCAGATTAATTTTGCAGCCACGTTGTCAATAGAAGTAGATCAACCAAACTTAGCAAAAAGTAGCAGCAACAATTGAAATTCATTAGAAGTACTGCACAGCAGTAGAGGCAGCTAGTAGCGAGATGAGTAAAAATAGTGCATTCAGCATTGCAAACTAGTACATCACAAGGGAAATCATATTTTTTTTCCCCATATCATTAGGAACAGTCATCCGGTTTAATCTATTACACTGAAACTGTGTTTTTAACAGCAGAAAGTATCAGAAACAGTTGAAATTCCTCTAAAAAAACAGTTGAAATTATTTTTGATGGTCGCGTTTTTTCTCTTCACTTTCTGGGCGAGACCCATATCCTATGGGGTGTGTATGAATCTTCTTAGAGTCCTTTTCTTTTAATTATAAATGTGTAGCTCTCCTGTGCGTTCGAGATAAAAAAGCGTTTATATTCATTACAAATAAATGAGTAATTCACAACAGTAAAGGCAGCTAGCAGCAAAATCATGATTTTTTTCTCCATATGCACAAGGCAATCATCCCCTTTGATCTATCACACTATCGATTGGCGGTTCAGGTCTGCTTGGTCTCTAAGACTGCAACTACTCTAAATCTCTAATCAATTGAGGAGATTCTAAATCCATCTAGATATTTTCTTCAATCTAATTCTGCCACAAAACATGACATTACAATATTCACTAGAATCTTGTGAGGAAAGAAAGACTTCGAGTAGTTAGGTACAAATGTTTTCTCAATTGTCATGCAAGATAGTACCATATCAACTGGGGACTTACTTAAATGGCATTGGAAACATCTTTTGGTGGTGTTATATGGGACCTAACTGCATACCTTCATCAGCTAAGTACTAGTTACCTACAACAAATAAAATTCATCAACTTCATTATATTGCGAACATTACAAGTCTATAACTCATCTCACCCACACTTAAAATATTGCGTTTCATCCTTGAGGAATCTGTAAACCATTTTGCTTTGCTTAGCTTAGGGCATCCTTTAGAAGTTGGAACCCGTGTTCAAGCAAGATCAACTTGGTTTGCATGTTCTGTCATTGCTTCGGGCAAAATGACTCCATGCATAGATTTTTTTAAAACACCTAGAGGCCTCGCTTATTTTTTCTGGATTCTTTCCTAGGTTATGTGGACTGCCTAAGATGGAAAATGACAATCAGAAATATACATGAACACAACTAAGAACAGGTAAAAAACTATTCTTTGGAAAATGAACACCATCAATTTGCTGTCCTGTACTAGTTCACATTTCAAAATTCAATAAATGTGGCAGATAATTCGCAGGTAATAGTTAATAAAAAGGCATATAAAAAATATTGATGGCACAATTCTTGCTACATCTGATTGGTGCATATCACAAAAATGACTCTACCCTTCAAAAGAAATGACTCGAAGTTGCTACAGCAACAAGATATAAGAAAAATCATTCCTTGCTAGGTCAGTTACAAAATAAGAATTCAGAACTTGTCGGAAGACCAGATAATCATTTAAAACAGAATAAAATATAACTCTACCCTGCAGAGAACAGGACGGTTTGCCTGTTTAAGCTGGCAGCACAAATGAGTCAAAGCAATTGTCTCAGGGAAGGGTAGTGCCAACCAAAAGTCTGTAGGCTATGCTTCAGAGATTAGTAAGCTGCATTACATAAACAAACTGAGCCGTGAAAGCTAGGAGCCTTAACTTGTGCGTTACATAAACAAACTGGCCAGGCACTCGAGGCACTAACAAACTGGCCAGTCACTCAAGGCGCTCATCTTTACTATTGAAAGAAAAAATCGCATTAATTTAAAACTCGGAGCTGGCGTTGAGGAATTGAAATCACCTGAGCCTTCGGGGCCATCTTGGCCTCCATCCATCGTGCCCAGCGCCGGCCGTCCAGAGATCCAAGAACCGGGAAGATCCCACGGTGCAGCCGGTGACAGATGCGGGAGAGAGGAGTAGACTGGCCGTCGGGCCCCTGAGAGGCAGCGAGCGATGGGAGGAGCGGAGGGAAATCTTGAGGCGGCGCGGCTGCCGGCGGGTACGGCGGCGAGGTGGGCGCGCGAAGGTGGCCTGCCGCCTGCGGCTGCGAGGCAGCCTGTGAATTGGGGAATTTGGGGAGGTTTCTCGGGGAGGGCTCGCCTGACAGGTGGGCCCCCGCAGGGATGACCGCGGCATAAAACGGTGCCTGGTTGGCAAAGGTAGGCAGAATTTTGGTATAGTTAGGCCAAAAAGACCAGGTTGTTCACGACACTCGTTCAGCATGACTTACCGACCTCTTTAATTCTTTATTCAAGTTCAAGAATGATAAAAAAAACATTATTCAAGAATGATAATAAAAAAAATTATTCAAGAACGATAATAACGACAACTATTTATATTTGTTAAACTTGATTACCATGTAGAAATGTAGCTTTGAACGAAATAGCAAGCGGTGGACCGCCATTGTTAATAGGAATGTAAGCCACAATATTAAGGAAAAAAACAATCAGGCAAGAAATAACATGATAGGTAGCAATCAAAGGTGCCTAAAAGATAGGCATGGTGATATTGGCAAAGGGAAACCAACATTACTAGCCTATGTGCCATTCACCCTTAGGCTCCAATTTGGGTGCTTGCTTCCATTCTTGGCGAGTACAAAAAAAACTATTTGATTTCTAAAAATAAGTATCAGGCATCGAACCAAAATTCCCTATGTGCCAATAACTTTTGCAGACTAATTTTACTCTAATAACACTTTTATTCAAAATCATATGAACATGAGAACAAGAGGTGTTCATTGTATTTTGTGTTCAATAGGGAATTTGGCATGATATACGAGCTCAAGTTAGAATTTCTCCAAACAAGGAAGAGGTAGGAGTATTAAATGTAGAAACAATGATTTAATTCCTTTCGGTATGAAATATTCTCTCTATATATACTTTGTGTCTCGCTTGTTAAAAATATCTTGTAATCGGGTCTTGTACATATATTGTGTTCTGCATGACAAGATCTTGATTAGGGGTACTAACAAACTAGATTCTTCTAGATTACTCTTGTATATGATAGGGTTAGTTGGATAGCTTGTGTACCAAGTTTTGTGTAATAATCTTTGAGTCCGGTTGCTGAGGCTTATGCCCTACTAAGGTTATATAACATGTACTCATGGAGAGTCAAGTTTGGTGTCCACGTTTCCACAATCTTTCAATGTAATGAGAGTCATCTTCTTCCACAAGCACATATCTCATGGCTCCACGTCCTATGTTACATCTATGAATCTGGTCCTCTGGTCTCCGAGAAATTAACTCTTGAGGACTTCTTGCTTTTGAAGGAACATAACCTTCTAGTCATCAAAGAGGTGCGGAAGCACTACCCATGACCATGGAGGTCATCATTAAATACAAGTCCGAGAAGGCCATTAGAAACCCTCAGTACAAGCACCGGTTGGTGCAGAACAAACAACTGCTCAGCTACCTCCTCAACTCCATGAAGGAGGTTTTGGTGCAAGTAGACACACTGCCATCATCTATAGCCATGTGGATCATCTCGAGAGCATGTTCTCGGTGCACTCTCATGCACGGGTCACCAAGGTTCGGATGCAACTATCAAACACTAGGAAGGGTAACCTATCAACTCCAGCCTACTTCACCAAGATGAAACCGCTTGGCGATGAACTCGTCACAACAAGGAAACCCGTTCAAGATGAAGAGATAGTCTCCTTCATCATATTAGGCCATGTTTTTTATTATAATCCTATTGACAATTGTTTTGGGCCAACCAGCAAAACTAGCCAGGCCGGGTTAGAATGTCGGCTAGGCTAGGTTTGTTGTTGCTTGTCTAAAAACACCAACCCGGCTACCCGGTCCGAATTAAAAACTAGGAAACATGTTGATTTGATGTGGATTTGTTTCCTAGTCGATTTGTGATCCATGTGAACAAGATATGAAAGCATCTAGGCCCCTAATGCAGTTTTGGTGATTAATGACAACACAATTATTATGACTAACGTGTGTTTTGTAGAGTCATTATAAGTTATGTCACAATAATGATTGACTAATGGGTAATCAATGGCTTTCATGCCCCAATTTGATGGAATTTGTTTTGGTTTTCAAAATATATGTGACAAGGTTAAGGACAAACTAGTTCTAAGTGTCGTTTGGCATTGAGAGACACTTAGAGTAGTTTATGACTTTGTTTTTTCCTTTGGTCGTACTATAAAGGGGGTATGAACTCGTAGCTTGACTAGGTGAGTCTAGTGATGAGTAGGTGTGGTGCACATTTATTAAACTTAGCACTAGGTAGCTAAGAGGAAGCCCAAGAATCAATTGGAAGCAAAGCCATTCTCAAAAGTGTTTGAAATGGAGGATAATGCAAGCACATTGCATGCACCAGATTAATCCAGTGCCTTGGTCAAAGTAGCACTAGACTATGCACTATAGAGGACTAGCTTGGGTTCCCGATGATGGGACTCAAGTGATCCAGTTCTCTCCATTAAGGTTCTAGAGAGGGTTTAGGGCCACTGATCTAGTCTGGTGCCTAGCTCTAGACTATAAGTTAATGTCTCGTACAAAAACGGCTAGTTTGTGAAATAGTCGTTGGGCACTCACCGGATTAGTCCAGCGCTTGGTTCAAAGTGGCACGGGACAAATCCGGTGTTGTCGTTTTTAGTGAGTGGGATTCAAATGGCTAGTTCTTGGAGTGGGGAGTATTTATACTCCTCCATCCTGAGCATGGCACCTCTCTTACCATTCAGAACAATGTGCTACTGAAAGGACCGAGGATGCCGCCTAGAGGGGGGTGAATAGGCATTTCTAAAATTCAACCCTTCAAAATGTGGAAACTATTAGTATTAGAGTTTCCAATTTCTTGGAAACTCCAAATCAGAGAGTTAACCCCCTCATGAGTCAACCACAGAGTAAACAACAAGTACTAAATAAGTGTAGGAGCTACAACCCTGCAACACAAAGATTAGAACAGAGAATAAATAATTTGGGTGCTGGTGAGAAATACCAGACACGTCCGATATGGATGCCGGACACGTCCGGTATTCACAAATTCTGTAGATCAACTCCCAACTTGCTCCTTTCAGTTTCACCTTTCACACCAAGTTGCAGGGACCAACTAGAAACCTGTTAGCAAGCTCAAGCAACACAAAAAGATAACAAATACAAAATGAAAAAAGAGAGAGATCGAGACACGGTATTTGTTTTACCCAAGTGCGGACTCCGTCGAGTCCTACTCTCTGTTGAGGGGGCTACGAGCGACCCAACGAAGGTCAGCTCTAGAGGACCATGAAGGCCACTCTAGCTAGAGTCTTTTCTAACTCTTTTTCCTCCTTCCACTAGATGATTCCTTCCCTTACGACGGTGGAATCGAACCGATACAAACTTTCCGAGGCACACCACAAGCTCTTGGGTGCTCTCTGATGACGCCTAGCCATCTAGGATCGAAGAGTCCAAGAGTAACAAATGCAAATCATGAGATCGACAAATATGCACAAGTGCTCAATGGTGGCTTGCTCTCAATTTTGCATATCACTCAACCCACAAGATGGATTTTACAAGTTTGAATTAATCACTCACTAAGAGAGGGTTGGAGAGTGTTCTTAAGGCTTAAAAATGTGTGAGAATGTCAGCAGAATCAGCAGCCTCCAAAGGTGGAGGCTAAGGGGTATTTATAGCCCCTTTGAAAAACTAGCCGTTATATAGTCGTTGGCGAATACCGAACATGTCCGGCCATACAACCCCAACGGTCACAAAGTCAGTAAAGCTACGAGGCATCGGAACTCCCGACAAACCAACCCAAGAAAATAGAGAGGGTCGCTATGCCGGGGCAAATACCGGACACGTCCGGTATTGCCAGACTCAGCAAAACGAGTTAGTTCTTTTGGCTCTCAAAAACACTCGAACCTCACATGGGTTGGCTTGAGCACTTATGAATAAATATCTATCAACATGATGCATCCTTCTGAAAGGTCCTAACATGGCTAGAGGGGGGGTGAATAGCCTATTTAAAAACTATAAATCAACTAGAGCAATTTGATTAGTAAGACAAATAGCGAAATGCAAACTAGCTCTAGCTCTACAAGGGTTGCAAGCCACCTGTCCAACAATTCTAGTTGCAATGATCAATTGGCACACAATCTACTTGACTACTACTCACTAAGAGCTCTCACAAATGCTACACTAAAGAGCTCCACTAGATATGTTTAAAGCATAAGGCAAGCTCTCAATTCTAGTTACACTAAAGAGCTTGCTATATCTAGTTTGCGGAAATGTAAATGAGTAAGTGATACGATTATACCGTCGGGTCGTGGAATGAACCAATCACAAGATGAAGATTGATCCAATCACCGGGAGAATGCAAATGACAAGAGACAACCGATTTTTCTCCCGAGGTTCACGTGCTTGCCAACACGCTAATCCCCATTGTGTCGACCAACACTTGGTGGTTCGGCAGCTAAGAGGTGTTTCACAAACCTCGTCCACACAATAGGACACTGCAAGAACCGACCCATAAGTGAGGTAACTCAATGACATGAGCAATTTACTAGAGTTACCTTTCGGCACTCCACCGGGGAAGGTACAACTCCCCTCACAATCACCAAAGGCGGCCACGAACAATCACCAACTCATGCCGATCCTTCACCGCTGCTCCAACCGTCTAGGTGGTGGCAACCACCAAGAGAAACAAGCGAAATCCGCAGCGCAACACGAATACCAAGTGCCTCTAGATGCAATCACTCAAGCAATGCACTTGGATTCTCTCCCAATCTCACAATGATGATGGATCAATGATGGAGATGAGTGGGAGTGCTTTGGCTAAGCTCACAAGGTTGCTATGTCAATGAAAATGTGCAAGAGTTAGCCCTTGAGCCAGCCATGGGGCTATAAATAGA